CATGTAATGTGTCTATCTCATATATTGGTTTCACCTTTTGAGTTGCCTTACTGACATAAATGAACATTTGCACGATATTCTAATTTTTCGAGTTCGACTATGTTTCATTTTCTTATTGCTAATCAACCCTTTAGCTATTCCTCATTTTCTCATTATATTATATTATATTCTCATAGCAGTTTGTCATTGCTAGACAGCACCAATTTTAAGATCCTTCCTCAAGTATTAAGTCTTAATAAATTAATATTATTAACCAAAACTATGAATCAAGATAAAGTCAGTTCTGTCTCTATAAGATTTTCTGTTACAAAACCGTGACACCCTGTCACCTCATTCCTTCCAAAGAGATCAATTTAACAAGTAGCTGATAAATATCAAAGCAGATCTACGTGAAGCCCATTTGTAATGAAAGGTAATGCAGTGGCAGTAGTTAACCAGAAGGTAATCACTGCTCTGTAGGTACATGATAAATAGCATATTTTATTTACCTGAAAAAAGACTTTTTTTTTCTCCTCAGATAATTATTTGTGAATTGAAGGTGTTCAGGAATCCTGTTGAAAAAGACTAAATTGGTAGGTGAGGCAAAAAATGAAAGAAAATAGCTACAAGGGAGGGAAGCTGGTGTTCTCCACAGAAATAGGAGAGTTTGCAATGGGGAGCAGCTTCTATCCATGGGAGAGTCCTCACACAAATGAAGAAATCAGGCTCCTCAGTCTGCAGAGACTAGCTCTCCAGAGATTAAGAAATACTTTAGTGCAGATAATCTCCCTTTACACAGGGAGGGGAATAAGCATGTTGGCTGAATAGATTTTACAAAAGAAAACATTTTACAAAAGAAACAATTACTGTATTTATAGACTAAAGTATTTATTTTATTTCTTTTTAAAATAACAATTTCTGGTCACTATTGTTTTATTTATTTCCCTTTACAGTAAACAAGTGTATACTTTAGGAATATATAAAGCATTTAAGTCTGATAAAGTGCACATCCTAGATTCTTGATCTGTCAAACAGATGTACCTTCTTTGACAATGTCTTCATTTTCTTCCTGAAACAGAATGAAAATTAGGTTACTGGACCTAGACAGTCTCAGAACTCTTTGCTAAGAATTACAGGAAAATGGTAAACAACCCTCTTAAACCTGGAAGTAGGGGAGGGAATTCAAGGGCCTTATACAGGTTGCAGCCCCATTATGAGGAAGAAACGTTGAGGCTACTATAAAACTACCTGTATTCTGCTACCTTTGAGATAACGGTATGAGGCTTGGAAAAGAAGAAAGCAATTTTGGCCATTATAGAGGCTAGGTCTCTTAGATGTCAGTCAAGGCACAATTGTATACATCACACAAAACTATCACCTGGGCTGAAGATGGAAGTACTGGGGTGTTTCTTTATTCCTTTCACAAACAGAAAGGGAGAGAAAGAAGGAAAAGTTCTATAAGTTGGGGGAAAAAAGGGGCTTATTTGTAGTTACTATTAATCTCTCCAAGACAAGCCCATCACCCCATGCCTAGCCTCATTCCCATCTCACCTTTTCTGTGTCCTATCCCAGTTTGGTCACTCATATCACTCCATTATTTTAATGTGTGTGCCTAATTATAACTATTCATTTATATGAAATTATTTTAGCACTGTAAATGTCCGTTGATGTTTGTTGTAATGCAAGCATCAATTACTGGCTAAGCATAAATTTCCTTAGATGCCAACTTTGGGGGGTGCTGAAAGATTCTCACAGCTGCCTGAATTACATGCCCATGTGTTATACGTATGTAACTAATTTGAGAATTAAAATAGTTGTTTCCTTTGATAACTTATGAAAGTGTTCATATAGGATGGTAGCTGGGGAAAGGGCATGTATTATACATTTGTTTTGGATCCCTCGAAAATTATCCTTAAGCCCTGCCTCAAGGGGACTGAACCAGTTTTAAATTAAGATTACAAAAGTAGGGGATTCAAATATAATTTTATTTCTCAGTGTTCTTTCTGTATAACACATCTTCATTCCCATTATCATTACACATAATGTTGAGGAAATAAGGAGAAAAGCATATCATAGGCTACCTTGATCAATTATAGTTCTGTATTTCCTCTAATGTTTAGTTCTGTACACAGAAAACCACTGATGGTAAAAACTCCACCATTAAGCAGAAGTTAAGGCCAGCTTAATGTGGGTAAATGAACCTTGTTGCAGTAAAGAAGAAAAGACATTCAAGTACCCTTTTTTGAAGCTGTTCTTGTAATTTCATCACTGCTTCTCTTTCTTTGGATAGCTGTTCTTGGGTGACCTTCAAAAGCTCTTTTAGTTTGGTAGCTGCACATCCCAAATCCTTTGTTAACTTCTTTTCTTTATCCAGTGTCTCCTGCAATTGATGATAAAACCAGGCTTTATTCATGGGACAACAACAACCAAACAAACAAAAAGCTAAACACTTCCAAAGCACTTAAACATGGGGACAAATTCTTACATATCTGCCTAGTAATTCTGCAAAGCGATGCAGCTTTAGAAGTTTTACCTGAAGTTGGAGAACTTCCTCTTTTGCATACGCAGAATCTTTCCTATCACATCTTAGTTTCTCCAATTCAGCTTGCAAGCTGTACACCAAATCTCGATTCTGCAGTTTCAAAATTATGAAAAGTTAATTCCAAGTACTTTGGAAAGCAGGAATAAAAGTTTATGAATGGTTCTTTCCTTTCCTTTCCTGTAATACCAGAATATCACTGACTAATATACATGAGAAGACCTAATAGATTGAAATTCTCATTTTTAACTATTTCATCATATTCACAATTTATATAACAAGGGATTACTTCATACTGAAATTAATACAATCAATCAATCAATCAATCAATCAATCTATATATATATATATATATATCCAGATTCCAAAACTATAAGGGAGAGAATTCTAATTATATCTATATAACTTTTCCAGATGTGTTTTATCCCATCAACAAAAATAAAAGATCTAATAGAGAGTTTTAACCAAGTACTTTTTTACATGGCAGCAGATACTGTTCCTTGGGAGTACATTCAGCTTTTGGGAATACCTTGGCATGAGAAATTCCACTAAAATTGCTATACCTTATTATTTGCAACATGATAGAACAGAAACCTAGACTACATTTTTGTGGTCTAATGACACAATAACAGGTGGAGAAGTAGTTGGTACTAAGCAGACAAAGGGATAATTTTAAAAAATAGTTTAAAACTTGATATAGCAAATAATAAAATCAAGCACTACTTTGATATACTGCCCAAACTGTTTTCCTGCCCAAACAACCACAGCACTGAGCCTATCAAAAAAGTAACTGCAATTAATTCACTTTGGCACAGCTTATAAGCAATATAACAAGAGCAAAAATTCACTTCTCTATGTGTAAAACTGTACAAACATTTTTTTCCATTTGCAGCCTCAGCAGCATCTATAAGGCACATGCATTATATAGTGCACACTTTTGCTTTGGGTAACCTGCCTGCAAACCTCACTGAGCAACACAGCTTTGAGCTTACAGCCTGAAATTTCAACATAACATAAATCAGATATCCCCTAGCATCATCATTTAAAATTATAAATACTTTCCCCCAATTCTCAAATGAGTCAACAGGATGCTTCTAGCTCCTCTTCCTTTCTCATTATCTTTGGATTCCACAGAAGGGACAACTGGTTTCACAGTGCTTGCTGGTATTCTCCTGTTAGGAACTGGCCCAATTAATTCCATGAGAAAGTTAGAATTCCAAATTTGTAATGTAATGTTCTTATCCTTGTATATTCTGTTTATATTGTGCTTTTAGGCAAATGGCAACACACAAGTGTGCACCAACCAGTGCATATACATCAAAAGCCCTTGAAGTTTTCATAGAAATGAAACGTTTTCAGAGCTTGTAGTTGATATACCACATTTATCCACCATCTACTAGGGTTACTTTGTTATTGGGAACGCTGAAAAAAGGATCCATTATTACCAAGTCACTTACCTGGGCAAGCTCTTGACTTTGTTTCAGTGTTTCTATTTTTGTTGTATCCATTTGTTCTTGTGATTCAGTTAACAGCTGTCTCAACTGCACATTAACATCCATTAAATTAGTAAAGAAACAAATTTATGAGAACAATTATCATTTTATACTGTCACTAACTGTATTTCATAATTACTGATACCCAGTTTTATAGTGAATTGTGTTTAAGGTAAGCATATCAATTAACTTAGCCAAATATTATAAAATGTAGCAAGAGTATGGTATAAATGCCAGCTTAAAATATCAGTAGGGTCTCATTTGTTGTCTGAATTATATACTGTAGCATAGCAGGCTTCTCCTATTGGCTATCTGATGTAAATGAATACAATATATCCTTAACTGGATATATAATATATCTTTATATGGATATACATATATAACTGATATACATATAACTGATATACATATATATAACATATATATATATATACATATATATATACAGAGTTAGTGGCTATGATCACTGATCTATAGAAAATATAAGACCAGGAGAAAAGAGAACATTATTGAATGGCCATTTGACATTTGAATCTACCTAACATAGATCTTGTAAAGACAGAAAAAGAAGAACTATGTATTCTGTCCTGAGGTAATTAGGGAAGAGAATAAATAAAAATGTAGATGAAAGAATTGTATGGCTGAACAGTTAGGACTGTATGTACACTGTCTACCTTGCTCCTGGCTAGCTAAGATGCTGGATAAAGTAAGCAAGCTCCCTGTTTCCCTTAGATCTGAATCTTTTTCTGAAATGTCTACTGGGAGAACCAATTCATTGCAAAGAGGAAGCACAAAATCTGTTATTTCATAACATTAACATCTAGAATAACTGGTATAATTATAAATCATGAGATGTTTCCCTGAAACCAGAATATAGTGTTTTATTATAAGCACCTAATTTTGGATTGTGCTCCAAACTCTCCCCTTTCCTCATCCTTGGTCACTCTAAAAGAGACAACACTTACAACTTCAACTTCTTTAGTGCAGTTTTGTTGTTCAGCAACTGCCAAGTGATCTTCCAGCTGTGCTTCCAAAAGAGTAGTATATTCTTTTAACTGTTTCAGAAGGGGGAAATTGAGAAACTTCAGACAATAATTTTCATTTACATTTTGATCATACATCCTTGACTACCATAGCAAATATGTCCAAATCATGCTTTAGTCTGGTCTGAACTGATAGATTTAATGTTCTGCTTTCTAAGAAAGAGAAATAAAATATCCTATCTTAATTTTTACCTTCTAGTAATCCTGAGTCAAGGAGAAAGGCTGTAATCTTAAATATATGTTATGCATTGCATACTGGAATGCAGGAGATGTTTTCTTTTGAGTCCTTTTTTCCCCAATCCAGAGTGGCCATCTTTTGGTATGACATATTAATTGATTAAGAAAAGTAAGAAAAGAAGCTGGGTTGATTACAACCACATAAAATCCTATGCATTGCTCATAAAACCACCAACAGCTCCCATAAAAAGTACTATACATGGGACTCCCCTTGAAGAGTATCCAGAAACTTCAGCTGGTGCAAAATGCAGTGGCGTGAGCAGTTATGTGTGTTTCTAGTGGAACACATCTCTGCTTTGTGAGCTGCACAGGTTACCAGTTTGTTTCTGGGTCCAGTTCAAGATGCTGGTGTTGGCCTTTAAAGCCTTTCATAGCATGGGGCCGGGCTATCTGAGGGACCGCCTCTCCCTGATTTCATCTGCCTGTCCTACCAGATCCAGCAGAGAGGGCATACTATGGGTTTCATCACCTAGGGAGATACATTTGGCAGACCCCAGGGAGCGGGCCTTTTCTGCTGTGGCACCTGCACTGTGGAATCTTCTCCCCTCTGAGGTGAGGCTTGCCTCGTCATTGTTGAGCTTTCGGAGATGCCTTAAGACTTGGCTATGCCAGCAGGCCTGGGAACAACAGGGGATGGGGGAATTAGTGAGGTGGCTCCCTTATTTTTAACTTCCTTTTATTCTCTGTT